TGGCAAATTAAGAGATGGCTATGGAAGCTGGATTTAATAAAGACTCTGGAACATCGTACTTCTGCGGAGCCAATGGATTTGCCATCTAAGTAATATTTTATGATGCTTTATATATCCTTATTGTACGTACTCTGTTCATTATAGATGTTTCATAGACATATATGTTCTTTCCAGTTTAGAAGAACTGAAGAATAAGGAATATTATTGTGTAAAAGTGAGAGGAAAATTTTTGTATGAAAAAGAATTTTTGATGGGGCCCAGAAGTCTTATTCTAGATGGAGAAGCTGTCAGTGAAAAAGGCGGAGGAGTATTTGCTAGCAAGTCGAGTACAGGATATTATGTGATTACACCTTTTAAACTGGAAGATCGGGAGTAATTGCACTTTGCTTTATTAATTATCGAAAGATCTTTTTTTTTCTTCCATACTATAGATTTAATTAATAATTGTTTCAGTTTGACCATCATGGTAAATCGTGGATGGATCCCTAAAAATGATCGTACATCATATAAAATGGAAGACAAAATTACAGATTCCATGGAAATCGTCGGCATTTGTAGAAAAACTGAAAATCGACCTCCATTTGTGCCTGCCAATGCTCCTGCAAAAGGTGTATGGCATTACAGGTATAAAGATTGCAATATAATATTTATTTAATCGATATGTATAGCAAAATTATATTAAGGACATTTTTAATGATTCTAGGAATTTTTTTTTTCTGGTAAAGCGTTAAACATTCATATTTATTGTAGGGATCTAGATGCAATGGCAAAGGTAGCAGAAGCAGAACCTGTATATATAGAATTATTGCCCGGATATAGCACACCACGAGGACCGATTGGTGGTCAAACAAGAATAACTTTAAGAAACGAACATTTAAGTTATATAATCACCTGGTACGGGTTGTGTGGCGCTACGAGCTATATGTGGTTTCGATATTTTGTGCAGAAATTACCTCTTGCTTAGTTGCATTTTTTTAGAAGCAGAAAAAATTTATCTGAAACATATGTAAAAATGTGTGAGAAGAAGAGAGAGAAAAAATGTATAAAATATACATGTATATTATCGTAATTTAGCTATTTTTTAATTACACTTGTATATCCTATACATACGTTTTCTAATGTAAAATTGTAAATTTTTAATTGTAAAATTTGTTTACGTGTATCTTTATAAAAAATTTTTATATATTTTCAAATTTTATATTTTTATATTTTATATTTTTATAGAATTTCTCAAAAATGAGAATCTATATATCTTGGTAAATGCACCAAGTAAAATATATGCATATGCCTTGTTCTCGTTTAAAAATTTTCGCGTACAATTAAAGAATTTTTAGGCATTACCATCCGCTGTGGCTCGGAGACGCCAGTTTTCTTTCTTGTTGTTTATTACATAACGAGCCTAATTCCTTTCAATTTAGTTTTATATTTTTATCTGAAAAAAAGAAGAAAAAGCAATGTTGTTTTCTGCGATTATAGATTTGTGCAAGCAAAAGAATGCGGAGCTAAAAAAGAAAGCATAGTTTACAGAATTCTTTATTTGATAAATATAATAATTATGAATATGTTTGTTCTCTCAGAAAATATCATCTATTGTTTTTTCGCGGAAGAAATGTAAACTTTTTCATGTTTTATTAATTATTAACAGTAATAATAATAATAATAATAATAACAACGATTACTGTTGATAAAATTATCAATGATGGCCATGATATACTATATTTAATTTCTGTTGGAAGCATAATCAAGAATGTCTTTATTAAAATATGAAAATATACAATATACAATACCGTATATTCACAGATACTGATAATAATGACAATAACATTCATAATAATAATTATTTAGAAAAGTAAGAATCAAGGAAGATTAGCAGGAGATTATTTTGGGTAATAAAAATAATAAAATATATCTTTCATTAATGATAATAATTATTCTTCTATTTTAATTGTGTTATCATCCATATATTTCAGTAAAAATCTTTTTAATAACAGACAATTTACGTTTTATTCTTAACATCTTAAATTAAATTAAATATATTAAACTATTTTTATATTTAACTATATTTAGTGTAAAAATCTATAATATCATGTTTAACCAGCTATCTTCCCTAAATGATTTTTCGCTTCAATGATATTTCATTGAATCGTGAAAAGCTTTTGCTAGAGAGCCACGATAAAAAATTTTATTACGATTAACATTTTTATTCCAGCGATCTTTATTAAATTCATTATATATTTCGCGATTGCGAAGAAGGAGATTCGTATTTATTGTCGCGATGCGATGCTCTTAAATTAATCCAACGCATCGATAAAAGTATCGCTTTCGTCCATAAGAAACTTGGTAGAAAAGACACTCTTATTTTATTTATACGTGAGATGTGTTTCGGGAAAAAAGGTGTGTGTAAAAAAATCTCTTAATTTCAAAGATATCTGCTTTCTTCTAGCGACAATTTCACCGAGAAAATAATTTTATATTTCTTATAATTTAATCTTTTTCTAATCTTCTACTTTTCGTGTATTTGTTATATCGATAAATCAATCAAAGGAAAATATTTAACATATAATATGAAAAATTAAAAAATGAATAATAATAAAATAAATAATGAAAAATAATAATAAATTAAAAATAATAATAAATTAAATAATGAAAAATTAAAAAATAGAGGTTTGTAATCTTTCATATTTTTTCGAAAATTTATCGTACAAATACAGAATTGAAAATTGAAGAAATAAAATATATACAACATGCCAGTAATGAAGAAATAAATTCCAAGCAAGCACCAAATAACAGTTATATAACTTAGTTATAATTTTCCACTCAACAATATAACTGTTACATAACATGTAACAGTTATACAAGGTGGCCCGATCGTTCCAGCCAGACAGATCTTATAGGAAATTTAATTCTGAACAAAAAATTTCCGATAAACATGGGTCGAAAAATGCTTCCTTAAGAAGTTATCGCTCAAAAACCTCTGATGAAGAAAGAGTAAAGGTGAAAAGAAAATTAAATAAAAAGAAAATGAAACTAAATAAATTTCTTGAAAAAAAAACGATAATAATAAAAATAAAAAATAATCTTTTTCTTTTACAAAAATAAAATAATTTTTTGAAAATAAAATAACTTCTTAAGGAAGCATTTTTCGACCCATGTTTATAGGAAATTTTTTGTTCAGAATTAAATTTCCTATAAGATCTCAAAATCTGGCTGGAACGTTCGGGGCCACCTTGTATAACAGTTATATTATAATAATTCGTTAACTCCAAGAGCTTTGTTACATTTAATAAATTTCGAGAATGGAATGCGTGGAAAGATAAAATTTTTTTATTCAACATTATTCTATAAATAATTATACGCTTATGATTCTTGAAAATTTAATTGTCAATCGTTTATCTCTCGATAAATCGAAATTCTCGCTTTGGCAACAAAATCAACACACCTTTCTTCGGAGACACCGCACATCCTATTCTTCTTCCTGTCTTATAAATATCTTACGAGATATGAAATAATAAATTCCCTTAAATGTCTATTTCAATTGCGCTAATTTTCTATATCTGTCAGGCAATATACTGCTTGTGCGACGTCCTCGCATTGTCGGCGAGCACGTCGAAGAAGGCAAGCTGTGAATGTCACACCCTTATCGATCCCTCGCACACATCCTTACATCTTCTATTCTCGCAGTTATACTATACACATTATCGATAATGATTTTCTACTTTAAATCTAAGAATCCGAAGATTATCGGACTTCTCCTCCGATCGCTTACAATCAGAGGCGCTCGTACACTCGCTTCATTCAATAATGAGGAACAAGCTCTTCATTTAAAAATATCGATGTCCTCGTTGAAATATATGTATATGGAACGTGCTACATGATTATGATTACTAATTTCGTGGTATAAAAACACGCCATGTCTTAACATGAGATTTAGTTTTCTTTTTTGAGGTTGCCACTACCCTTCGACCCTTGTTTTTTGAGTCTACCCAGCAACACCAAGAATGTTTACATCATTGTTTGTTGCAATTTCCCGCTCAATAATGTAACTGTTATATGTTATATGACAGTTATATAACAGTTATATAAATGTTATATAAATTACATAACATGTAACAGTTATATAAATATTATATAAATATTATATAAATGTTATATAAATTACATAACATGTAACAGTTATATAAATGTTATATAAATTACATAATATGTAACAGTTATATAAATATTATATAAATATTATATAAATGTTATATAAATTACATAACATGTAACAGTTATATAAATGTTATATAAGTTACATAACATGTAACAGTTATATAAATGTTATATAAATATATAAATATTATATAACATGTAACAGTTACCTAGCAAACACCAAGTAACATTTATATAGCTGTTAGTTGTAATTTCCCACTCCACAATAAAACTGTTACATGTTATGTAACTGTTACATAACATGTCATATTATTAAGTGGGAAATTATAACTAACGGCTATATAATTATATATTTATATAACATTTATATAACAGTTATATAATTGTTAGTTATATAACAGTATGTTATATAACAGTTACATAATATGTTACAATTATATCGTTGAGTGGGAAATTACAATTAACAATTATATAAATATTATTTGGTATTTGCTCAATAATATATATATATATATATATATAGTTGAGTGGAAAATTGTAACAGTTATATAACTGTTACTTGAAGTTTGCTGGATAGATTGGCTACTTGAGTCGCTAGAGAGGCTGAAAAACAGGCCTGCCTCTCCATTGATCAACGAAGATCAACATGATTCTTTAGATAAGTGAGGCTCGCAGAATCGGCGGTTTTATTCAACGAAATTCGAAATCAGTCCAGTGATAGGCGCTTTCGGGTCCTATCCTTTGTAGTCGAGACTTAAGCCGAGCTTAGGGACACGTGAAGACTTATCTCTCGCTTTATTTCCATAAGACGTGAAATAAACAAGCAAGAGCCTTTCGTAGATTAAACAGTTTTGCTTGCCTTTTTCCACATCACATCCGTTCATTTGGACAAGTAAGCAACTTGTATGCCTTTCAAATCTTTCTGAACACTTTTTTATACTTTTAAAACACCTAATAATTACAGCTGTATATATTTCAAGTTATGTGCAAAAGCGTAAATATGCACTTTGACTGATAAGATAACCATTGTATATTATGTCAAATATAGGATAATATACGTATACGATTGTTTTGAGCATCTCTTGCTGATTCAATTATTTATATAAACAACCCAGGCAGCACAAAAAAGCCAAAAGATGTCTTAAAGATGTCTAAAGGATTTAAAACGTCTTCAAGTCGTCTTTTAGATGTCTTTTGGACATGTGAGCTGTCTGGGAATTGTATGTATACATACCCTATGTGTATATTGTTTGTGTGTGCGTGTGTACGTGTGAATTTATGTGCAACACTCTTTAGAGTGCACTGGTGCGCACACAAGTACAATCGAAACTCGTATCTAGAAAACAGAAGCTATAATAATAACCGTTTATGGTTACGTTATAAAAAGGTTGAACCTTATAAAATATGTTATAAAAAATAAAATAATTATATCAAAACGTTTTGCGGTCAAAACTTTCGGTAATTCTTAAAAAAATAGGCTTTTCCTTCTCCTTTAGACGTTTCGCATCTCGTTGCACGGCCTAATAATTTCACGCATGCAAACGACGAGAAGGTAAATTCAGCAAATACCCAGACAGCACAAAAAGGCCAAAAGATGTCTTAAAGATGTCTAAAGGATTTATCTTTAAGATGTCTTTTAGATGTCTTTTGGACATGTGTGCTGTCTGGATAGTATGAGCTCTTTTCATATAAATTCATTTACTTATATTACTTTCGAATAACGTGTAAGAGAAAGAGAGAGAAAGAGAGAGAGAAAGACTGTTGGTTTTATAAATTCATTCTATTTTCAGACAAGTATAAATTTATTTCATCCTATCTTGAGTGCCTTCTAAAATGGCAATTTTAAAAAGCCTGTTAAAGACGATTCTGCGAGGAAAGGATTTAGAGCGATAACCTGTGTGCTTTGTATTTACAATTATAAGCTCGTCTTAAGATTATCTAACACTTATATCCCGGACATAAGAATATCATCGAGCCTCATCGAGGATTCGAGTAAATTGACTACAATTTTAAATATAATTCGCTCTCTAAATAACAATAATAGCCTATCCATAACATAAACAATGACAGAACCAATAATTAATCCCATAATATTTATTAATCGACGTTTGTTGCAACGTTGCTTGACCGTCGATGACAGAGACCTCGCTGGAGTTGATAAGTATTTCGAGCACTCAGATGCTAGATCTGAAGAGCCCCAACTTCGCCAGACAACTTTCTTTCAGACAAAATTGATAACATTGATCATACCCATATAGCATTCTATATCCAAAAGACATTAACCAAAAGACATTATCCAAAAGACATATCCAAAAGACATTAACAGGACATCCTGAAGATGTCTAATCGCCCAAAGATATCTTTTGGGTACCTTCTGGACATCTTTTGGATATGCATGCTATGTGGGATAACGTTGATAACATTCATCATTTCTCAAACAAGGGTAACAATAGAATAGGAGCCTAGGTTCTACGAATAATAATTGTACGCCCCAGGTGTGTGCGTGTCGGTCCAGTATATGGTCTCTCACACGCTCGTAGGCTCTATTATTCGTTGAGCACGCAGGTGCGGACCAGGGCGTCGCAGACGGAATAGGGATCACAGTTGCTGCTGGGCCTCCTGTCCTCCAAATAGCCCTTCTTATCTTCAGCGACGCCGCGGGGAATGCGAATGCTGACGTTTCGGTTGGCCACCCCGGCGCTGAAGTCGTGGATGCTGCTGGTCTCGCACTTCCCGGTCAATCTGCGCTCGTTGTCCTTTCCTCCACGTGGGTCGTATGCCTGGATGTGTCTGAGGTGTTGCTTGCTGAGCTTGTCGATCGCCTTCTCGATCTCGGCGATACCGTTTTCTCCGCGCATCGCCTTTGTCGAGAAGTTGGTGTGAGCGCCAGCGCCGTTCCACGAACCGTCCACCGGTTTCGGGTCCAGGGTGACGATCACGCCGTACTCCTCGGCGACGCGGTGCAGGAGGAATCGGGCGATCCACAGATCATCCCCGGCGTTGATGCCCAAGCACGGCCCTATCTGGATCCATAATAAAAAAGAAGATAATAAGAAGAGAATCCTCAATTAAATCTGAAGGCTTTATACAGGGTGTATCAGAAACATGGGCAATTTGACGCTTTTGAAAAAAATGTTAAATACAAAAGTTTTAGGGTTTGGAAATGGGGATCTGGTGGTGAACTTAAACTTGACCTAGGGTCATGTATGTAACTGTTAATTGCAAATTATATTTTTTTCTTAGAACAACTATGTATTTTCTTTACACCAATTGATTCCTTTCATTATTCTGTGCATAAAAGTATAGGAGTAAGGTCGTTGAAAAATGAATATTTTACGAGATATTTTGTGGTTTATGTAAAATTAAGGAATCACTTCAAGCTTCATAACGCGGAAGGTATTTAACGAAAAGATACTTTATTATAGTGTTTCGGAAAGCTCTCGAGATAAGCTACAAGAATACGTAATAAAAAATAAGAGTTTGCATTTAAAAAATCAAGTTCACCCTAATTTGACCTCTAAATTCCTAGGTCAAGTTCAAGTTCATCATCAGACGCTCACTTCTAAACCTTAAACTTCTTATATTTAATATTTTTTTTTTTTCAAAAACATCATCCCTTCAAGTTAATCCGAGATACCCATCTTTTTGGTACATCCTGTATCCCTGATTGTACTCTATCTTCAGTTCTCAGAGATCTTCAGTTTATGTTATGCATTAAAGCTCGAGCTATAAGCGTTCTTTAATTATTTCTAATCAGCCAAAATGCTATCTCTTTTGTTTTTTATTACACAGATTGGTGGTTCGAGTGTTTACCTGGAATTCCCACTGCGAAGGCATCACTTCAGCATTGGTTCCCGCGATTTTCACGCCGGCGTAGAGGCAGGCCCTGTAGTGGGCCTCGACGATCTCGCGACCGATCACTTTATCGGCGCCAACGCCACAATAATAGGGACCCTGGGGACCCGGGAACCCGTTCTTGGGCCAACCGAGCGGCCTGCCGTCGAAGTCTAGGAGAGTGTACTCCTGCTCGATGCCGAACCAGGGGTCCTGATTCTTGACAGCTTCCATCGCCTGGTTCGCCAGGTACCGCTTGTTCGACTTCGTCGGCGTCTTGTCGCTGTAATAGGTATCGCAAAGCACGAGCTTGTTCTTCCCGCAACGGAAAGGGTCGTTATAAATCGCCACCGGATATAAGTATATGTCACTGTTGGCGCCGTCAGCTTGATACGTCGAGCTACCATCGTACGTCCACGTTGGCAGTTCTGAAATTAATAATCGAAAGGTTATTGATTAGAAAAAGGTGTTTCGTATTTAATAAGGATTTATTGATGAACTCGGGAAAAAAATTCATATATAATCAAATAAAAATATAATTATATATAAGTATAATTATATATATATATATATATATATATATATATATATGTATATATAAAAAAATACTTTTATAAGGTATTTATAAATATAGGTATTTATAAGATTATTAAAAATATTTATTATATTTTTATTTATTATATTTATTATATTCATAAAATATTTATTAAAAATATTTATTATATTTATTAAATATATTATTATTATTATTATTATTATTATTATTATTATTATTATTATTATTATTATTATTATTATTATATTACTATTATATTACTGTTATATATTATTATTTAATATTTCATTAAAAATATGTATTATATAAATATATTTTATAATATATTTTATAAATATATTATAAATATATTATAAATATATTATAAATATATATTTTATATAATATATTTTATAAATATATTATATTATATATATTATATAAATATACATTTGTTCTATTATTATTTTTCTTTTATATAATTTCGTAAAGAAATTGTTATCACTTTTTGATCAACAAGTATTTTAATCCCTAGTCTCTCTCTTTGATGAAATAAAGACTTTCGAGTTAAAGTTGAAGAAAAATTGTAAGTCTTTGATATAAAAGTTTTTTATATAAAACACTCAAGTCTCGAATTTTTCAATAAGCTTGATTTTTTCATCCATCGCGATATTGCCGTCCCATTTAATTTGCTAATGCTTTTTTAATTGCGACTTTCGCTCAGAAAGGAATTAATCCATTAATGACGAAATTAATATTTATCGTATTAATATTTAACATGCGATTTGCGAGTCTCTATTCTATTTTCGAAATAGTACACATGTAACGAAAGTAATAATAGTAGCAATAATAAGGCAATGACGGCGATATTTGCGTTATACATATTAATGCGACGATAGTCGGTCCTGAAAAATTTACGATGATTACTCAAGCTGTTGACAACAAACAGAGTTCATTGCTTCCGTATATTTTTTTCTCCTTTTATATAATGCGTGCGTACTATGCGAGATTAGATAATATTACTCCATTGTGAGTAAATCGAGATAAAAACGACTTTTCCCAACTATGTACGAGTAAATGCTTAAATTTTCGTTTCGTTATCGACGCTTATAAATTATGGAGATTTTATATTTAATCGTATGATTGATTAACAAATGTATGCGACTTCACGACATGACACTGATTCTCGTACAAAGTAATTTGTTTTCCTTAATTTATTGCTATCATCATTTCATTTGCAGAACGCATATTATTTATTTTTGTGCATATCGTTACTTTCAAAGTCATTGGAAAGTCATTTACATTACTTGTAACGAAAGAAGTAGCTTTTTTTTATATTTTTCGATAATAAATTCAATAGTTATTTTTATCGTTATTTAATAAACACATCTAGGGATTAAATTTTTATTATTTTTATTTTTATTTTTAATTTTTATTTAAAATTTTTTTTTTATTTAAACCCATCTTGTAATTTTTATAAACTTTTGCATTATTAAAAACTCGACTCGTAATAGTATATTACGTCAGAATTTTAAAATTATAAAATTAAAGCTTACGTATTAGAAAAAACTAATATTTTAAAAATGTTCCTTTGCAATATTTAAAAAATATTAGTTTTTTCTAATAAAAATAATATATAATTCAAAATTATTATATACTTTGTATCGGTTTTTTAACGCGATATCAATTTTGAAATAATATTAGTTTGTCGTGATATTTTAATATAAAGAAGATTAATTTAACAAATATAAATTTGAAGTATTTTATATAATTTTATATATAATTTGGCCTTCTAATAGCGTTAAAAACTATAAAATTAAGATTAGACTGTAAATTAGTAAATTAGTAAACTGTAAGAGAAAATTGTAAACTGGACTTGTTACTTTTATAAAGTAATTTTTCCAACTTTCTTTGATTATTTCCACATTATTTTCACAGAGTCATTCTTCAACGTATGTCATAAAATCGCTCGTCTATCAAAATACACGCGCAATTAGTTAGCAGCGACAGAATAGCGAGGACGATCGACTGAAAGATTGATGCACCATTATGCTTGCTGCGTCAAGGTCTTTTAGAAATATGTAAATGAACACAATTGAGATACATCGATTGTGCAGACATTGTAGCGTGACTCTTAACAAGACTGCTCGAAAGAAAGATGTGTTTCCGTTACCTGACAATGAGATATGTAATCTTTTCTTTTTTAATTAATTTTTTTGAATTATCCTTTTTAATTAATTTCTTTTCTTTTCCCCCATCAAGCCTCTATCAAACATTGAAAATACTCCGGAAAAGTAGCTCTCTACTTTAAAAAAATATAACTATAATATAAACAATATAACTATAATATAAAAAAATATAATTATAATACTAGCTTTGCATAAAATAAATTCGAATAAAAATAATGCATCACTAAAGCTATTTCGAAATTTTTTTTAGATTGAAAATAGGGATTGAAAGTGGAATATGATATGAAAATATAGACGTTTTATAGAATTAAAAAAAATTTTTTAATCTTTTTAATCTCTTTAATTTTTTCGAGAGGGTCTTGATAGGATTGTCTTCTTAAATAAAATTAGCGTGATCAGTGTTTGCTGGTATCTAGATAAAATTATCTAGATAATTATCTAGATAAAGAAATGGATCATCTTTATCTTTAACTAGATGAAGAAATACAAAGTATCTTTATCTTTATCTTAGATAAAAAATATATGTCATCTTATCTAAAAATTGTCTAAGATGACGTTTTCATTATGCAAAAAATTTTTCCAGGCAAGCTTCTAAAAATCTATTTAAAATATCTAAAATATATTTATTTGGAAAATAATATTACAAATATACTTTATCTTGTATTTGTTTTACTTAAATTTGTGCACTGCATTAATGTATATTTTATAAAAATGATATATGTATTGTTACACATTGATTATTATATTATAAATATATTATAAATATATTATAAATTGTTTTTTTTTAATTATTATAATGTTATAAATTATTATAAATTATTTTTTATTAATTTATATGTTATAAATATAAATTAATAAAAAAATATTTATCATATCATTTATATACTTTTTTGCTATTATTTAAATATTCTTTAGGAAAAGAGAAAGAATATGTGTTTATGATTTTAATATCCCATTTATAATCTGCGTCACATTTTTTACAAATATTTATAGTCTTATAAAATAAACAAAAATATCTAGATAATTATCTAGATTATCGCAATAATCATCTCATCTTTCATCTAGATTAAGTAAAAGCAAAATCATCTTTATCTCATTTAAGATAAATTCACGGATTTTTATCTTTATCTTTATCTAGATATTTTCGAAATTATCTACAGCAAACACTAAGTGTGATACAAGATAGACAAACTTTTTCATTTTTTTCAAAACGGAATAAATTTGTGGAGCCCTCACCGGAAGGATGTTTCGGCACAAAGTCCAAGGTCCTGGTCTTGCAACGCAATCCTTCGCCAGTACCGTCGATCCAGATATATTTTGCCTGGATCACATTTTCGGGCTGGGGCAGGTCAAGATATTTCTTCAGCAGAGTTTTATCTAACGCCGCATTCGGCGAATCTTTCAACACGCTGCGCGACATAGTGATGCTGTAACAAACAAAAAGAAGGAGAAGATAAGACTAAATAAATATGAGAAAAAGGGAAAAATAAAAATGAGAAAAAAAATTGATCGAAACTTACAATTTTATTTCTTATATATAATAAGCGAATTCAGGAGGTCATTAATTATATTAATTCTAAAATATTTAATAATTATTCAAATATATTAATTATGAAGAAAAAGAATTCTAGAGCATAAAAATGCAACTTATTTATCTTTGTCATTTTTATTTTTTTTTTTTTTTTTTTTTTCGTTGTCATCGTTATCTATTCGTATAGCAAGAATCAGTCATACACATCAATTCAGTCGTTGTATAATTATTTTTTCTTTCTTCAGCTACTAATAATCGACAAAAAATTTATTAATAATTAAAAAAAAAAAAAAAAAAAAATTAATTGAGATTTTTAATTCGGTTAAAATTATATTACTTGATTCATAATCGAAAATTATACGTTATTATTCAATACGCGAATATATCAAAAATATAAATAATTATTAAAAAAAAAAAAAAAAAATTAATAATCAAAAAAAAATTAAAAATTATTAATAATCGAAAAAAATTATTAATAATCGAGAAAAATTAAATATTATTAATAAAAAAAAAAAAAAAATCAAACAAATATGAAAAATTACTAATAATCAAGAAAAATTAGAAATTATTAATAATCGAGAAAAATTAGAAATTATTAATAATCGAGAAAAATGAAAAACTATTAATAATCTAAAAAAATACAAAAATCGAAAAAATAAAAATAAAAATATTAATAATTTAAAAAGAATTAAAAATTATTAATAATCGAAAAAAAATTAAAAATTATTAATAATCGAAAAAAATTAGAAATTATTAATAATCGAGAAAAATTAAATATTATTAATAATCGAAAAAAATTAAAAATTATTAATCATCAAACAAATATGAAAAATTACTAATAATCGAGAAAAATTAGAAATTATTAATAATCGAGAAAAATGAAAAACTATTAATAATCTAAAAAAATACAAAATAATAATCGAAAAAAAATTAAAAATTATTAATCATCGAAGAAAAATTAAAAATTATTAATAATCGAAAAAAATTAAAAATTATTAAATTCCTCACATTTAAAGCGACAAAGGCCGCGAAAGAGGCAAATCTCGATCCGAAACGCATTCGCGAGGCGATGCAACTCGCACGCAGAGAAAGAGAGGGGGGGGAGAAGGCTTTCACTGTGATGGTGTATCATGAAAAGAGGTGCGCCCATACGGGATTTCACGCACGTAACACGCGAGCTGTGCGTGCGCCACGCACTGTACATGTTGCGTGCGTTGGCGTGGCCATTGGCGCCGACGGGATTTTCCTCCGATTCCTACTGAAAATCTTCTTGCAGAAGCAACCCGTTCTCCGATACACGCCTGATAAATTGTCCCGATAAACCTCGAAGGTCAATAAAGACAGTTGCACACGATTCCTCTCGTGATCTTTTCTTTGATTTTATAGAAATTCAGTTTCGGGGAAATTAATTATATTTTTCTTTCCATAAATTAAAGAAATTTTTAATATAAAAGCACTGCGGGATATTGTAAGATATTTGTGCCTGAGAATCGAAAAATATCTTTTCCATGTGTAAGTTATCATTTTAGTTTGATTTTTATAAAAATCTAATAATAAGTTTTTTAATGAAGCTGTTTTGAATTAATTTCAGAAAATTATTTTATCTTGTAAAATACATATGTATAAAAAATTCTAAAAGAGTCTTAGAATCGAGAAGATTTTATTATTACTTTTTTTAGATTTATAGAAATCAATGAAAAATATTTTAAATGAATGAAATATTTTTTAAATCGCAAATAAAATATTTTTCTGAAATTGGAAAGAATGTTGTTAATATTAGGATTTTAATTTTTTCTGAATAGATGTATAAAATAATTAATTAACTTCAGCAAAATTTTTATATAAACAGAACACATTTATTGAATTTATTATTAATAATAATTTTGTAGATATTCTTTTTTCTTCTTTTTCAATTTATTAAAAATATATTTTCCATATATAAATTATTATGTCGGATTTATTGAAATTTAAATGGAATAATTTCGAATTAATTTTAGAGAAATATTTTATCTTGTGCAAAACTCTAGTAGAAGAAGATTTGTGTCAAAGAATCGAAAAGAATCTTCTCCATGTAAGGCAGTTATTACTTTAAATCTATAAAAATCAATGAAATATTTCATATCAGGAATGAAATATTTCTTTGAAATTAGAAAAAATATTGTTAATATTGGAATTTTATTTTTTCCTCAATAGAAGATACGAAATGATTAATTAAACTTTTTCTCAGTAGAAGATATAAAATAATTAATTAAACTTAGCAAAAAAAAAACGTTTATAAAGAGAGCGTTTGTAGAGAATTATTAATAATTCTTTTGCTTGACTTTTTTTTTTAATTCTTCTAATCTTTTTTAAAAACATGACTGCGCGATTATAGGACGCTTAATCTGTCGATTGCTGTACATACTTGCAATCGAGAGCCGATATCGTATAAAAGTCTCGTTAAGAGCAAGAATCAAGAGTAGGGAAAGCAATCGAGTGAGCAATTTTTGATAACTTTCTACTTTCGCTTCGGCCTTCAAGGCCTTTCAGTTTCAATGTCTCCTCCAACAATTACGTAATTCATGTTATGTAATCGTGCGTACGATGTGTGTGATCGAATGTTATTTTCTTTCAGATATATTATCTCCGATTGATAATTAAGATATCTGGGGGGAATCATACAAAATTTTTTCAGCAGATCGTCTATATATTTGATTAATTATTATTCTGTCATTTTATCTGTTCACGCAATTATTTTGATTATTTTATTTTCTTCTCATTTTATCCGTTCACGCAATTATTTTAATCTTGAAGAAAGCGTTGTGTACACAAGAATTCGAAATGTGCCAAAATATGTAATTTTAATAACAAATTTTTTTTCTAATTTAGGATAAATTTCGATTGAATTAAATAATTTGTAGAATCCTTTTTAAATTGATGTACATTTTTCTCGAATTGTGGTCGATTAAAAACAAATCCCTTTCAAATGTAAATAACTTTTAATTATGTATTACATCTACTATTTTATTTGTTTGTTCATTCAATTTAATTTAAGCGAATTTTATCAAAGATCAGCAGCTTAAAAATTGATATGGCGATTAGATATCCATTTAAAGTTGATTTTTTTGTTATTAGAAGAATGATAATATTAACATAGAGAGTATAATTCTAGCTTTTATTTTGGTCATACATCCTGGGGCGGACAAACTTTGACCTTAATTTGGAAAGAACCGGATATTTAGATTTATCGCGTTGTGTCGCCTTATCAAGAATTAGCAATCACGCAAATCGAGAAAATATTTGCTCGCATCACTACGAAATTACATAATTACGACGTGTTCATATTTGCATGGACTTTGCGAGAGCGATTGCGATAATTTTTCTCCGTCATTCTAGGCGTGATGGAATAAAATGAATTCTGAAAATCAAGATTCCACGTAGAAAGATAAAAAATATCGGAGATATTCCAATGTAAATAATATAAAACATATTTCGTAAATTAAAAAATATATATATAAAATATATAAATAGTGAAAAAAGTAATAAAAATTAAATAAATAAAATTTTTAAATATGATAAAAATTAAATAAAAGAAAATAAAAAATATTAAAATTAAAAAATGTAAAAATATAAAAAATAAAAAATAATAATAATAATAATAAATATAATAATAATAATAATAATAAAAATAATAAATGATAATAAAAAATATAATATTAAAATATATAAAAAATATTAAAATTAATTTGATTAAAATTCTACGTCAAAATTTTCTATATTACTCTACTTTTTGTTTCTCTCTGTCTGAGTTTTATATCTTGTATACGTCATGTAAAACTTCCAGACGAGCCAAAAATCGAACAGCGTATCGGAATGTTATCTTCAGTCACGTGCGAGCATAAAGCTATCTCTTGCATGATACGCATATATCGAGGAGATATTAAAACAAGTATGTGCTTAATTCGCTTTTATCGCAATTGCGAGACGATGACCAATCGAAAAGATGTGAAATTAAAAAAGTCCAGCAAGAGACAGAAATAAATATTAATTTATTATGTATTCCGTATTGATTTTTTATTGCTTCTTTTCGCATTAATTACTACACTTATTATCAAAAGAAATGAAGTTTGAAAAAATTCAAAATTCTTTCGAAAGGAAAAAAAAAATTCTTTCGAAAGTTAAATCAATCGTGTGATTATGTAATAAATTACGATTTATTTTATACAGATTTTTATGCGGTAGAATGCAATGCGATACGTAATGATCTAATTATAATTATACATATGATTTGTTCAAATCAATGATCAAATGTAAAAATATGACAGGTTTATAAATAATTAATCTCTAGTTAATTCTCATTTTCCAGCTTTAATAATAGTTTCCTTTTGATCCCAAAGTGATTCTTTTTCCGCATTCTCTCGTTCGTATTTTTGCCCACGTTTTTCACGATATTCGAAGAATAAAGACTCCGAAGGATAAAAATAAATGCAAAGGTTAATGCACTTCCTGTTGAACTCGTGGATGCAGTAGCAAAGATGACCTTTGCTCAATCTGTTGTTTTACTATAAGCGGTCAATAATATGCACACGCGTATCAGTTGTTATGTCATTTACATGTCTGGACCCGGGAATGGAAAGTGATAAAAATGAGATCATACTGTTTGCTTATTGGCATTTTAGCGAATGATTTTTCCAGTATTTAATATCTTATAAAATTAATTAATTAAGATTAAAATTAATTATCATGTAAAATTAAAATATAAATAATTTCCCTTGCATTCTAAGAGTTATATTTTATACAAATATTATTAAGAACGGATATAATGTATGCTGGAAAAGAATTTTCAGGTCGCGCGTTTCTACAGGGTGTTTTAAAAAAATCGGAACAACTCCAAAAATATATAAATTTTAAAAAAGT